CCTTCCCTGGCTCCTCACAGGATTTATTCTCCCGCCCTTCCCCAGCCTCGTTGCCCTCCTCTGCCCTCGCTCCAGCCCCTCCAGATCTCTCTGGGATCGAGGTGCCCAGACCTGGACACAACCCTCCAGGTGTGGCCTCACCAGTGCCGAGCACAGGGGACTGTCACCTCCCTGCTCCTGCTGGTCACACCAGTGCTGACACAAGCCAGGATGCCGTTGGCTTTCTTGGCCACCCGGGCACACTGCCGGCTCGTGTTCAGCTGGTTTGTCAGTGAGAACCCCCAGACCCTTCTCTTCCTCTGCCCCTGGCTCTTCCTCAACACTTGTTCGAAAAGCGTTCGAGTCTGTGACAGGCTCCGCCGCGCCGTTCACCGGGACCGCAGGCACCCAACGGCCATCGATGCCTTTATGTCATTCCTTCCACAGCTCCTTTCTCCCGGCCGCAGTACTTGTAACATTTAAAATCTGTTAAAGTAGCCACAGAAAGGCATTCAGGGGCTTATTTTTCCTGTCCCTGCGCCACAGCTGCTTTCCTCAGCGTGGCTGGCAGCAGGCTGGGGGTCAGAGTGAAGCAGCCCCATGCCGGGGAACACCATCATCTGCTGCTTTCCCAATCTGACCTCCAGTTCCTTGGGGACGCTCATCTTGACTTCATTATGCGTCAATTAATTAACTCGCGCTGTTCGCTCTTTCCATTTCCCCCTCAAGAAGTCACTGAGGCTGAACAATCGACCGCAGACCGGCCAGGCCTGCCTGCCCGGCAGCCCCCACGGCTCGGCGCTGCCCCTTCGCACGAACCGTCGCATCCCCCTGCCAGTCCCGGCGCCGCCAAAAACAACTCGAAAACCTGAGTGAGCTGCACCGGCCGGGCCGGGCTCGGCAGGAAAACTACCCCTGATTTTCCACGGGGCTGGGATTTCAGCGCGGGAGCTTTGCGAGGGGAGGCATCGGATGGGGATGAGATGAGAACAGCAGGAAATGCCTCAGCCGGAGCTTTTCCAGTGCTGGGCTTGTGATTCACAGCAGCAGCAGCGTTTCCGCCCCACGGCTCGCTCCCGGCGGGCAGCAGCCGCGGTTGCAGGCTTTGACGGCATCCACATTTCACTTTCCTGGCACAGCTGGTCCCTGGGTGGGCACAGCGGGTACCGGTAGCTTTGTTCCAATGCCCCCTCCTGAGGCAGAATTTGAAATCGTAGGTCTTCCTCCAGAAACTTGATCCTAAATCCTGTATCCCAGCGCCGCTAACGGGCTTCCCCGCCTGCCTGGACCCGCCGCAGGTGCTGGAGCCTGTGGGTGTTTGGGATCGGCGACGGCGGGAGCCAGCGGTGCTGCGCCGGGGCGGAGGCGCAGGAATCGAGCACAAACTCTGCCGAGTGCTCACTGAGCTCTCGTTTTTCCATCCGACTTGCTGCCATCCCTGTGCACCCACCGTCTGCTGCCCACCCTCACACCCATCACCACGCGCTCCTGTCTGACCATCCGCTTGTCCTCCTGAGCCCTCCCCACCGTGTCCATCCTTAATTTATTTTCCCTTCCCCATGTCGTGCTGCCTTCCCCGGACCACACACAAGGGGCAACTTTTGGAGTTCCCCCAGGCCCGAGCAGCCCCTCCATGGGCAGAGCCCAGGGAAAAGCACGATGCTTCCACGCATCCCCTCACCATGGGACCCTCCTGGGAGCCGGGTCCCTCTGTACCTGAGCCCACGGCCCCGGGGCTGGCTGCTGCTACATCAAAGCTGCTTTTCGGGCGCCCGCGGTGCCTCGCCACGCCGGCCCATGTCGCCTGGCTCCCTGTTGGCTCCTTCCTCTGCTCCAGTGTCTCGCTTGCTCTGTGGCTCGTTGATGATGAAAACCACTGGCCACATAAAAGCATGTGCGAGTTAGGGGCCTGCAAGCTACGTGGGAGGTAACGGACAGCACGGCCCTGGCTGGGATGCAGCGGCCAAGTCATTAACGAGGTGACGAGGATTGCAGAGCCGGCTCATTAGTGCTGCAAGGCAAGTGCGTCACACTGGCTGCCGGACACGCCGGTGCCGTCGTCGGAGCAGCCGCGTCCTCTTTGTGGGCAAAGCTGGGAGCGGGAACGATTCTGCAAGAGCCAAGCGAAGCCACCCCAGGAGCAGTCAGCGCCCTGGATGACTTGCACGTGTTTGTGAGGATTCATGCCCGGCTCTTGCGCCAACCCTCTTGCCCGTGGAAATACAGGGGAAGCTGCACGTGGCTGTTTTCTTCCCTCTTTTAGTCGGGAATGGGATCCGTGGGACCGCGCATCTCGTGGAGAGCTGCTCCCTGGAGGGTGGGTGATGCCCCGGGAAGGCGGCGGCAGGGCGATGGTGCTCGGAGCAGGTAGAGACTCATCACCCAGGGTCCCCTCCGTCACGCAAACCACAGCCTCCCCTGACCTTCATACTTTCCCGCTGCCTCACTGCTCCCGTTGGATGCGCCCACTGCGGTGTCGTAACGAGCAGAAGAGGAAACAGATTTCCCAATCACCCGCCCCGTTGGCAACCCGCGAGCCCTCTGTGCTGGGAACGGCAGCTGGCAGCACCGGGGCGAGTGGCTGACCCCCGTGCCGAGCCACGTCCGCTGGCTGTGACCCGGGGCCTGGCAGGAGGCAGGGAGGGACCGTGGATCATCGCCGGCTGATGTTTGGGTGCTGCAGCTGCTGCTGTTCAAGAGCATCATCCCTCCCTCGGGGTCAGCTCCCTGGTGCTCCTTTCCCATGGAGAAAGCCCATGGGCATCACCTTGCCCGGGGCGAGCAGGGCTGAGCGCCGGGGGACGGGGCTGCCCGTGCTGCTCTGTGCAGGCAGTGCTTTCCCGGGAGGGAGGGAAGAGAGGGCTAAAGGTGCCAGGGCAGCCTCCTCCACGCGAGGCTCCACTGCCCGGGGCTTATTGGCACATCAGGAGGCACCTGAAGGCGACTGAAATCGCCGTGCCAAGGGATATCGGGTGGCTCCGGGAACAGGCTTCGCCCCTCGCTTTCACGAGGCTCCTGTCGTTGCCTTGAGAGGGGACGTAGTCACTCGCTCCGTGAACATTCGGCCTCCTCTTCATTTCCCCCATACTCAGTTCCAGGGAAAGATGACACCGAGGCAGGAGAAAGGGGGTTTTTCGCCGGGGAAGAAATTCAAACCACATGCAGGCGGGCTCGATGCAGTAGCAGGAGGAGGGACAGGGGCTGTGAGAGAGCAGGCTCTCAGCAGCGAGGCCAAACGTAAAGTCAATTAGCGCTTTCAGGACTCGGAGCATGCCTGAGTGCTGTGCTTCGAGCAGGCATAATCCCTGTCACAGGGAGGCTGCCAATAGGGTTTGAAAATAATTAGGAAGCCCGGAACCCCAGTGCTTCCCAGAAAAGCCTGTTAACTCTGTGGTGGAAACCTTGCTTGCAGGGAGCACGTCGCACAGTCGTGACTCATCAGCTGGATGGAGCTAAACTCAGTTTCTCAGAGGTCAACACGCTCGAGTCCCAGTGAGCTTTACCCTTGGTGGGGCTCCTGTGCTCCCTTTGCCTGCCTTAATTCAGGGGGTGCCCAAAGTACCTGGGAGGAACGGAGGGCAGTTTCACGAGGTGCGTGTCATCCAGAGACACCAGCACCTTCCGAAGGGGCAGTGGCGGTGGGGAAACTGAGGCACAGAGGGCTCAAACCACCTTAGCCAGCGGCCTGGAGGGCAGCAGCAACCCTGGTCCCCCGACCTGCTGGCCCTGGCCGGAGCCCGCACCTCACCAGCCCCATCCCTGCGGCCTGGGTGGACGCTGCTGTCCCCCCACTGCTCTCTGGGGACTTTGGATGTGAATCCGAACGGTCCGGGACAGCCTTGGAGGAACAAAACAAGACAATCAATCACCCTTGCTTCACGCCCACCCCAGTCTGCAGCCTGAGCCGGGTTGCATTGTGCGGAGCCGGAGGGACTCCACATCAAAGTGGGGAGCAGCTGGCTGCCGGGCCGCCGCAGCGCCCAGACGGGCAGCGCCCTGCCCACGAGCTGCCTGTCTGCGCTGCCCGCTCGGGCTCTGCCCCGCTCCTGCCCCGGGGCCAGGCAGCAAAGCCGGGCTGCAAAACTGCTCCCTGCTCGGGTACAGCGGGAGATGCCCGAGGCCACGTTGGCTACAGAGAGCGTCAAAAGTGGGGGTGAGCGGAGGCTGCCCCGGGGCCTGGACCTCGCCGCAGCATCCTGGGGCTGGGAGCACC